CACCGCGTAGCGGTTGTAGGCTGGGGAGTCGGCCAGGTCCATGAGCATGGCCTCTGAGTAGCTGGGGATCAGCTGCCGGTTGGTGCAGATGTGCCACTCCAGCTCGGTGCTGTCCTGCGTGGCATCTCGGGGCATGCGGTACCGGTACAAGGGCTCCTCTGACGCCGTGTGCGCTGTGTACTCCAGGCCCAGCAGCTTCTCCACGTGATAGTGGACGTAAGCAGTCCGATACTCTATGAGTACCCTGAGCGGCCACGAGATCATCAGGATAGCGGCCACCCAGAAAGCATAGTGGGACACGTACCACGGGAGGTGATCTGGGTCCCCGTAGGCCATCATGAGCTCTTTAAAGTCCACGTTTTTGAGCTGCATGCCTTCCCTCACCTCCATGTAGTCATCCAGCCCCTCGATCTCCGTGAAGAAGTGAGCCCTCTGAGTCAGGTAAGAGTTCTCAGACTCAATGTTGGCAAAGCTGAAGCATTTGGTGAACCTCAGCTTGGTGGCTGTGTAGCTCTCCAGGCCCAGGAGCTCCTTGGAGATGTCCTTGTAGCCACAGTGAGAGTAGTCAAACTCAGCTTCAGCCACGTGGGTGTTGACTCTCTCGTGGTAGACTTGCGTGGTGGTGTAGGCATCACCGTTGCGGTACCGGGTGACCTGCCGGGTTCGCCGCACAAAGTGGTAGCTGATGGCCTTCCACCAGATGCACGGGGTGGCTTGCTGCATGCGGTTGATGCATTCATAGACACTGTCCACATCCGCCTTGTACTGCAGCTCTCTCTTGACGTGGCAGTGCCAGCACTCCACCAGGTACACCACGTACAGCATAGAGAGGAAGGCCAGTGGGATATAGACATAGCCGTCCGAGCATGGGCTGTCATGGTAAATCATGGACTTGCCCTTGAAAGAGCTATCAAAGCTGAGCTTGGTGACCCGGGCCAGCTGACACCAGGCCACTGCACCTAGGCAGCCATACATGAGGATGGAGAGGAGGAGGCATTTCCAGTGGGACTCTCGGCACATGCAGGCACTCAGGGACTGCTTCACGGGGCGTTGCTTCAATCACACCACCGAAAATGGGGAGAGAAAGACAAAGAGAGAGCGAGGAACCTGTCAGTCATGGCCACTTTGCACAACACACAGAGTGACTGTTGCCTTCAAGATTGTGTCTGGCTTTGCTCTTGACTGCCTGAGGACTGGGACACCACCCTACTTAATATAAAAGTGAATATAAACAGAAACACTGTGCCAGGGACAGAGGTCTCTGGATAAAACTGCTTCCATGCTTCCTCCTGGCTCTGGGGAGGGAAGATGTTCATGTGGCAGTAACTCGCTGTGCCTGCACCCTGGTCAGATGGGCCCCTCTGAAGGGGGCAAGATGGGTCCCCATTTCCTTCTCCCTCCCTGCAGTCAGCATCATCAAAGCACCCTGCCATTTTCCGAGGCCAAGAGGGCTTTGCAGCACGCCAACAGCCAAAAGCATGGGGCTCTGCACTCTCCCCTTTGTTCTGCAAGTGCCCAGTGCTTGGGTTCCCTCACGGTGCTGCTGGGGATGCTGAGGAGCAGCGTCCATCACAGGGTTGTGGCCCCATGGGTCGTGCTGGCACAGGGGGACTAGCACTTCACGGAGCTGGAGCTGCTGCCTGACTCAGAGCTGACTCACACTCAACCCTGAAACCTACCAAATGATCGACACCATTTTTCTTGGAGGTGAGCCATCAGGAAAATTACTAGATACGAGCAAATTTAGTTAAAAAAATGTCAGGATTACAGCACGGTGCAGCATAGCTTCAGGCTGGTGAGAAGACGTGCTCTGACCTAAAATACCTGAAAGCTTAAGTGTTGGAGCTCAGGGTGTATGCCTAAATATTTTAAACATAGCACATGCAAAGTCCCAAAAGTCGGGCTGGGAGCAGAGCTGGAGTTCCCCCTCTCGTACTCCCACTGCGTGCCCCGAGACGGTGCGGTTGCAGTCCTTACCCCAGCCGTGGCGCAGTGAATCAGCTGCGTAGTCATGCAATGTTGGGCTATAATAAAAAATGCCAACTGGAGCCAAGCAGCTAGCGGAAACGGAGCTGTCTCCCTGCAAAGAGCAGCAGCAGCATGAGTTACGGTACTGGCTGGCTGCCACCCATCTGGAGAAAGTGCGTGAAGCAAGACCCCTTGCTGCCCTGATAGGTAATGTGGAGGGCTGGCTGCATCCCTCTTGTTACCTCCATCCTTTTCCTCCCTCCTAACTGAGGAAATGACAGTGAGAAAGCAGATACACACTGATATTCATGCCTCATCATGCCCTCTGCTGAGCCTGATCTCAAGCAAAAATAGAAGCACACTGCTACTTCTTCTCCCAAGGGGCCACCTCTAATGCATCAAACTGCTCCGTAGATGGCAACAGATGCTAGGTTTGGGAAATGTCTTCTCTTTCTTGCTCCAGGGATAAAGTTCTCCCCTAGTATAGCTTATCTCAGACCCACAGCAGTTCGGATTCAGTAAGTAATCTTGAACCAGTAAGGAATTTAAGGAGCAGCACCTTATGTCTCAGGAATAATAGCACAGCACCACTAGAAAGAAGAATTTACTGTCCTCCCAATGAGATGGAAGCATTGGCACCTAACCTTGCAGGGCTGTAAGGTCAGATTTTCAGATTTAATACTGCCTTTTTTCCTTTTTTTTTTTTTTTTTCTTTTTTTTTTTTTTTTTTTTTTTTCTGGGACAGAAAACCACTTCTAAGTAACTATAGAGGGTTTTATGGCTTGCTGTGAGCACTGCCAAACCAGACTTCATGGGGTTTGGGTTTGATTTCATAGCTTCTAATCTGACACTGTGTAAGCACAGAGTAATTCTATTGATTTTAGGGAGCTACACCAGTATTCATCTGCAGGGACTACAGGCAGAATCTGGCCCATGATTCTTCCTGATGCATCCAGAAGGAATCTGTAAAGAATTTCTATTCTTATCCCAAACCTTTTGTATGCATGTGTCAGAATAAAGAATAATCATTCAGGGCTGTATTCTCTTTACGGTGGCCAAAATGGTTGTAGAGAAAGTAAACGGGTTATAAAGGACACGGTACATGACTTTTCTCTAGGTAGGGCAGTGAAAAGACCTTAGTATGGGTACGAGCAAGGCTGTTTTTCCTTAGCCTTTTGCAGGAAACCTTGAGGAAAGCCAAAACGTGGCCTCAGACAGTCCCCAAGTCAGCTGAAAAATAACTACGGGAGTTTTGGGGATGAATCCCTGAGTCTACCTGCACTCATGGAGAGTTTGATCTCTTGAAACTCTTGTCAAATACCCACCTCTCTGTGCCTAATGCAGGATTCCCAGCCGTCCCAGCTGCAAACTGGACCTTGGGTCAGAGCCACAGGCTCTCCCAGCTCCTGGGAACTCCACCAGGAATCACTGTCTTCTATTCTTTGTCTCTTCTTGATTTGGAACTAGAGTTTGTAAGTGCTACAGTAATGCAAAAATACAGCCTGTAATGAAGAATTGCAAACCTCAACCCTTTTTTTCCCCCGAAGGTTTTTTCAGGTGAAAAAAAAACTCTAAAAATTACCACCTCTCTACTCCAGGTACTGGGACTATGCGGAAGAAAACAGCTAGGGAATGTTCTAACACAGGACTTTTTCACACTCAGGTTTCCACGGGTACCTCTCATGTAAAGTCATGCATGGTTAATACTGTGAAGACTGACAGTGGACCCAGCAAAAGATGTCCAGAAGTCAGTTTTAATGTGAGTGCTTTAGGACTCCATGCATCTCTGGGAACCCCAATTTTTCCTGTGACTTGTTTGAAGCGCTGTCAGCCTGGCCCTGGGCACAGCCGTGCAAGAGGGCTGTCCCATGTCAGTTAAGGCTCTCTTCGCCAAAGGCACTGCAATCCCCACCTCCCCTTTATCTCACTTCCCTTGACTAACAACTCCTCCACTCTCTGCAGCTCTGTGGTCCCACTTACAACCCACAGGTTGGCTTCTGCCCAAGGGGTGATTCAACCAGCCCTGCTGGTTAGGGCTATCAGTGGCCATATCAGAGCTGGCAAATGCCTCCTAACATGCTTAGCTCCATGAAATACCATCTCCCCTTCGGGAGAAGAGATGGCTCTGGTCTCACCAGTCCTGGAGCAGCACTGGGCTGGGCTGGCAGCAGCTCTGAGGCTTGCCAGTCCAAGATGACCTTTCTGTATGTGCCCTTTGGGGATACTTTAAAAGTTGTCTTCAACTCACTGCACTGAAGGGACTGGATCAGCCCGAGCCACATTACCTCCACTATTCCCACTGCAGCCTGTAAAAAAGGCAGTTTCTCTGCTCCTTGCATTAGTGAGGCCATGCAGCCACAGAGCCCACTTTAACATCTCTCTGAATCACACACCTACCAGTCCAGTTCAGCAGAGCCTTCATGTTCAAAATCCTTTGGGAAAAACAGAATTCCTTTCTTCTGGCTCTTCTGACCCACTGTCTCATACTGTCCTTTGTTCCTAAGCAGATCCCACTCTCCACAGGTCCTTGGTTATAAAAGCATATCTCTTCCAGTGTCTACCCCTGCAGCTGTCCCTCCTATTTCAAGTCCTGAATACGTTCATCTGGACTATGTCACAGAATCACAGAACGTTGTGAGCTGGAAGGGACCCACAAGGAGTCCAACTCCTGTCCCCTTAATTCTCCTTCCCTTTGCTTAAATAATTATCTAACACAGCTATACTATTAGAAATACTATTAGAATGTTTGTAAGAAAGACACGGAAAAGAACATAATTACAATAAAAGTATCAGACATTCAAAATATCTAATAAGGAAACATATCTTTCCATCTCTCTCTGCATAACAAATTCATTAATATGTTAAACCAGTGGCTCCCAGACTTTATTAATTAACATACCACCTTCCTGCAAGCATGATGCTTGTGGTACTACGTGGAATTTTCTCCTTTCCGTGCACAGTGTTTCAGATCGAAACAGGGCAAGCTTGTATTTCTGGATGAGTACAATAAATGCTTAAGGAAACTAATAATTTCCATGATAACTTGGGCCAGCCAGCAAACGGGAGTTGCGTCCTTTGAGGAATGCTGCGGGATCTGTGGTGTTTTGATGTGGAACAAAAGCATAATCCCTGGAAAATGTTAACAGAGAAACATAATTGAAGAAAGCAAAGACAGAGAGGCTGACAGAAAGCCAGAGCCAAACAGAGACTGTCCCAGAATAGACAGAGTCTCAGTCACCAGGCACTTTGCCTGCAAGCTAGGACTCACAGATTTGGGTCTCTAACCCAAATCAAGAGAGGTGTCCTTCCTCTCCTGCGTGTTGGGGACTTTGTTTTGGGATTTGCTTCCAGCGTTGATCTAAGAAACCTCCTGACAAAAGATTAAACAAGACACAGGTTGCCCAGAGAAGCTGTGGATATCCCATCACTGGAGTGTTCAAGGTCAGGTTGGATGGGGCTTTGAGCAACCTGGTCTAGTGCAAGATGTCCCTGCCCATGGCAGAGGGGTTGGACTACATGATTTTTGAAGTTCCCTTCTGACCCAAATAGTTCTGTGATTCTACAACCACTTCTGTGAAGAGGGATGGCTTTGTCAAATCAAATGTTTCACCCAAAAGGTCCCAACCAGCTCTGGTGACAGTACAAATTGTAAAAATCTCCTGCCTTGGATGGAATGCTGAGAAGAAGCACAGCCAAGCTGTCAGTATTATTGTTTAGGAATTTCAAGTCGTGTTAAAAACACATGCTGTAAACAATGTCTTGCTATGCTCTGGCATGCTGCTGAACTGCTTTCAGAGGCCTCCCTTCCCACCACACCTGACTGGATTGGAAACTCCTGCTAATTCTGACCCAAACTATCCATAATCACAAGCCAAAATTCACTTTACTCTTCCACACTTAAAAACAACAACAAAATATTTCCCAGATTCTTTACTAGATCTCAGCATGAATGAAGAAGATTCCACAGGTGAGATGTGGCACACGTGGGCTGTGGGTAACCATGCTGGGGACCTTGCCCAGAGGGACAAGGTTTGGGGACAGCCCTGCCCCGAGCTGTCCCTGGCCCCAGGCAGTCAGCCCCACAG